TGAGACTTCTACATGGCCGTCAATAATCGATTCACCATTGTTATGTTCTGCTTGACTGATCAAACCCAGACGAAGCGATTGTTTGGTCTGACTGCCCGACGACCTCTGGCCGATGTGGGGGGAGGGGTGCTTGACCAGACCAATGGGGAGGGGGTGCATAATCCTCCTGACAACACTTTGCCGAAAGCCAGTCAGCGAAACCCAGTTCATTGAAATCATGACAACCCAGTTTGCCGAAACTCACTTTGCCGAAACCCCAGTTTACCGAATTTCGCCATCACCGTCGTACATAAGTACAACATACTGTGCTTTTGAAACAAATTAAAAGGCAAAATACTGGCTCCATGGGGAATTGTATCCTGTCGGTTGTGTTTTACTGCTTTTTACTGACTTTAGACAAACTGGGTTTCGCCAAACTAGGTTTCGCCAAACTGGGATTCAAGGTTTTTGAGCCGGCAAACTGGCATTCCGCGAACTGGGTTTCGGCAAAATTGACTCGGCAATCTGGCATTCGGCAAACTGGGTTTCGACAATCTGGCCTATGGGCTACAACAGTTGTCAAAAATTGATAGTCTGGACGACGGCTTAATACCTAAATATATCGTGTTTTGTGTCGCTTCTTTTTTTGAGTGTACAAAGGCTAACTTCGTTTGTGATCGTGAGAAATTCAACTTCAGAATTAATTTTAAGAATTGCAATGAATTCCAAAAATCATCACTAAAATGTTATTCCTTTAATTTTAAAGGTCTTGTTAGAAAATTATGGTTGGAGAGGAACTTTACTTGTGACAGGAGCAATACATTTGCATGGATTAGTAACAGCAACAGCTCTTGATCCCAGCATTGGCCGCAAACAGGACGTCACTTACACAGAAATTGGGAAAAGTGGAGAAGATGAGACATTCTTGCAAAAGATTGGAGAAAGGCTTCAGGTTCGCGTCTTTAGAGACTTCAAATTAATTGGATTGTTTACTGTAAGCTTCTCTCTCGCTTTTACTGAAGTCTTTTTCTACTTGAGTTTGATACCATACGCCATCAGTATCAGTATTGAGCCAATGAATGCCAGCTTCCTGAAAACTCTTGTAGGAATGGGATGTGTTGTTGCTAGAATTGCACAGTGTGCTACTCTACAGACGGTCAAAACATCAGCCAGACTGTTTGTGTTAATTCAATTCCTGGACGTCGCAGCACTTATAATTTTCATAACTTCGAATCAATATACTGTTTTGGCTGTGACGTTATTTGCACACGGAGCGACATTTGGGATTCAAACTTGTTTTGTATATTTCCTGACATCAAAGTCGGTTGATGCAGCATACATTGGAGGTGCAATCGGTTGGTCAAATGCGATTTACGGATTAGGTCATCTTTCTGCCTCATTAGTGGGTAAGACTGCTTCTAGTCTAAGACCATTTTGAAACATATTATATATATATATATATATAGACCTATATATATACTGTCTCTTATACACATCTAGATGTGTATAAGAGACAGATATAGCATTAATCATCTATAATAACTGCTAACTTCCTACCCTATCGCGTTGTTTTGTTTTGGTGACAACATGGCCGGTGTAAGTCACGTGAT